GTTTCTACTAGAATGAAAGAAAGAAAGCTAGATAATCAAGTTAAGGTTGTTGAATTTATCGAATTGAAGGCTAGTGTAAAGAATGATGGAAATGCAAACAAGGATAAGTCATGATTTGAGGTCTCTAGATTTCAAACAAAAAAAATTACAATAAAGGAGACTTAGTATAGGTGATTGTCAAGAATAAGCAAGTATTAAAGTGTATTTTTGTTAAACTTAAAGACATAGGAGGTTTATTATGAATTGTAAGGAGAATGGGTGAGCACGCATATAATATACACCTATTTAGAGATCACCTAGTCTCGGCTACTTTCAAGGAGAAAACCTTTCACCGTACTTTGAAGAGGGAGATAAGGACCATGAAGTTAAGGTCGACTCTTCTTCAACCTAAAGACTATAATACGAGAGCATCTCTCTTTCAACTTGGCCAAAAGTTCCCCTTTTTAGTGGTCGAAAGTTTCAACCCTCAATCCTATTTGTTTTGTTGTTCTTTTATTTATTTGGATTGAATATTATTTATTTGGGTTATTTTTAATTATACGGACTTAGGCTAATTAATTAGTTCTCACGGGATTTTGGGTTTTCTTCTTAAATTAGGACATAGACGAATGCAACCTCGATGGATTATTGATCCATGTGTGTTAAGGATCCTTATTTATTTAGGAGTCCATGTAATATGTACATCCATATTTAATTGATCTAAATTAATTAAGTCCTAATTGAACATGGAAGACGAAGTTCAAGTCTAGTTTGGGAAAAAAAATCTATTTAGTAAAAAAGTCATACTTCGAGCAATGAAGAGAAAGCTTAACCCTAGTCAATTATTTAGATCCTTGTGTGAGTATTTAAGAATACTTTGTGCTTCTTTTTCATTAGAATTTGATTAAAAATTTGAATGAAAAAATAAGAGTTTTCTTTGCAAGTTCTTACGGATATCCTTTGCTTAGATTGGCTAGGATGTCATTATTACATTCTTAGAGGGATCGACTAAGGTGGGCTTACATCAACAATTATATCGAGTGAAATCTTGAAGAATGTATCTTGTAAAATCTCTTTAACTAAACTTGGGTGGAGGATTCTTCACAAAGGTGAGGCATTAGGGCTTGCTTTTATTTTTATGTTTGCTTGATAAATTGCAGGTTAATCTAGATTCCAAGATTGAATAAATTCAATTTCAAAGCTGATAACCAAGTCTAAAGATTTTTTTTTATTTAAAATTTTGATGGTAATTAGTTAAAGGGTTTATTTATCTCCTAAAAAATAATAGAAAATAAAAAAATATGAGTAGTTTTTTGGATTGTTGAAATTATTGTAAATTTTAGAACCTATTCTATTTAGAATTTTGACTTAGTGAAATAAATGACTATAGGGCTTAGATTGACCTGAATATTGGTACATATATACCTCTAGACATTTTATGTTGTGTTAAAATCTAAGCTAAATTTGATTTGATTTGCTAGGTCAACGCACCTCCCTCATTTTTGGATTTTGTGATTGATTATTTAGAGCTTCGAGATTTTGTTCGGTTTTGTATTATTTATGATCTTGTTGATCTGTGATTTGGCTTATGATTCAAGATTTATTTAGAGTATAATTGAGGCGGGTTTATAGCTTGAGTGTTTCGACTTAAGGCTAATTATTTGTTGCTGTGTGTTTGAACTTCCGCAAGGCTTGACATCTCTCAATCCAACGTCAATCAATTGGGTCAACTTGTAAGATTTTTATTTTTAAGGATCAAATCAAAACATTCAATAAACAACAAGGACTAAATAAGATAAAGACAACATAAATTACGATTGAATGGATGAAGATGCGGATGCGCCTAAATTTTGAAAATTTGTATGCAACTTCAATTCTTTTTCTATTTGAATACCTATAATCATTTGAGATTATGAAATACCGATGTTTTTAAAATAAATGGTCACATGATATTTTTTAATCGCTATGTACAGCAAGAAAACTACAATTTTGGTAACAAACCTTTGATTTTTTTCGATACACAACCGATAAATTCTTATATTTCGGTACTCAAGCTTTGATTTTTTTTTTCTATTTGAGGCCCACACCGAGAGTATAAAATATTGACATGTTGAGATGAACTATCACATGATAAATTTTTTAACTAACATGTAAAAAATGGAGTAATAAAAAAATATAATGAAATTAAATAATTTTAGGTAATTGAAAAAAAGAATGAAAAGATTAAGGTGAGGTTGATGGGAAAGCTTCGCCAAACTTTTTGATTCCGATAGAAAAACACTATTCTTACATTTCTTGCCTCTCCTGTTGAACAAGTCCTTATATTGACTTCGCATCGGTAGCTAACTCAACATTCCCTCGAGAGCTCACATTCACCACTACTTCCTCACTAACAATAGAGACTTCATCAATTGATAAACCCAAGTCCAATGACTTCTTCTTAGCTTGCATTAAGCTCTAATTCTTATATTGAATGTCACAAGTCCAAGTAGTGTGCGTTTTAAGGAGATGTACAATTATTATATGGCTTTTATTTAAACAAAAAAAGCTATTAAGAAAATTCTCGATACATAGCCATATCAACCGATCGCATGTTGCTTCTATCTAGTTTTAAGAATTCAAGGAACTATCTTTTTTGAATTCTCAACAATTAAAAATCATTCAACTTTACCTTGATAATTTTGAGACCTTGGTGACAAGCTACCTATTTTATCAATAAAAAATTGACTAGACTAAATCAATTAAGTCTTGTATTGAAGATGACAAAATAGAAATTATTGAGTTGAAGATTCCTATAAAGAACTTACCAAGCAAGATCAACATATTTAATCCAAACAAGGAAGCATTATGTAAAAATCTTCAAGACTCAAATGAAGACCAATAGATTTCATCATGCATGATAATGATGAGTCTTGCATGAAGGCCTTTATGGTTAGCTCTTTAGACAAAAAAAGAAAATTAACAACACATATGAAAGCTCTTACAAAATTTGTGAGGCAAGAAAGAGAAATAAATGATATGGCTAGTAATATTGATAACTATTGGGCTAAGTTTTAAGAGCTTATTTGCTTAAACCTATAAAGATTTTTTACTTATTATTATTAGAAGTATATTCTAACCATCAGCTATTTGTAATTAGATAATATTTTCCTAATATACATGTTATGCTACCATGTTACAATTAGTGAGTTAACACTTCTACTTATGTTTAACAAGTTTGGGCGGGAGGTTTCTCGTCGACCACAATTTAATGTTTTCAATTACTTAAAATTATTTAATTTTATTATAATTTTTTATATATATACCCTATTTTTCACGTGTCGATTAAAATTGTCATGTTATAGTTAAAAAAAAATATCTCATAACAATTCGTTCTAAATACTTTAGCATTTTATGCACTCGATTGAGTTTAGAAACTTAAAAAAAATAAATAAATAAATAATAAAATAAAATAAAATAAAATAAAATTCCAAAGATTGGATATTGAAATAGAAGAATTTATGGATTGGGTACATAAAAAAATTAAAAGTTGGACACTAAAATTGCAGTTTTCTAGTTGTTCATGGTACTTAAAAATATACCACATGACAATTCATCCTAAACACCTCACCACTTCATATTCTCAAGTGATTGTAAACACTAAAAAAAAAAAAAAATTGGACACCAAAATTGATGTTTTCTCAACTCGCAATATAAATAATACTCGGAATTGAAACAAAAATATCTTTAAAAAAATTAGGGACTAACATGTTACATTCATAAAAACTTGCATATCAAATGTATGAAAATAGATTGAAATTTACAATAACGTCAAAATATAGCAAAAATAACGGGACAATTGTGTCATAACCCGAGTGTATTGAGTCCTAGTGTGTAGTAGAAGAAATAGTCACTTATATAGTATTTTTTGTGTTTTGTTTTATTATTATTATTTTTTTTTTCATTTTTGTAATGGTATTGCCAAAATTAGCGGTTAGTATTCAGTGTATCTGATAATGCAACGAGATGTTTTTATAAAAGTGAATTTAGGCTGAAAAGCATCAAGTGTTTTTTTATATTTTCAATATCAACATAAAAAAACTATCCAATAACACCTAAAAAGACATCAAATAAATGTTTTTTTTTTCAGGCCAAACTCACTTTGAAAATCATTTTTAAATGCAGTGTAAACACAATCTTAATAGTCAGAGGTTAGTGGAGTAGAAAGTCACATTATAGCGATAGATTATATTGACCACTACTACAAAATAAGAAGTTCCACATACGACCTTCAGCTATTGCCTTGTCGATCGGTTTAAAAGTTCTAATAATTTTGGAATTCCTTTATATATTTAATATATGACGATGCTATTTAGTTTGCCAAACAATTTTCTTTTTTGATTACTAATTAATAAACAAGATCAATCATGTTCCAGTATTGATTCTATATATTTGTTTTTTAGCATAAATTTAATGACACTTTTACAATTTCGGTAATTATTTTTTACATTTTTGGCTGTTCATATTCATAATTTGATGTAACATATCTGTAAAGGTTATTTTATAAATTTTATAAAATACATCTTACTATTGTGTTATTTAGAATGTGAGTGTATTTCCACGCAACTCATAAATAGTTGTTTATATATATATATATATATATATATATATATAAAAGAGTTACTAATATTTATATTCTTATCATTATTTAAAGAATAAAAATTTTGGATATCATATTCGATATTCGACCGGAAACAATACTTATCTAAAAATAATCATTCATTAGAATCGATTCAGGTCGAATTACTATCACTGAACATAATGTAATACTTTAATACTATTTATTAACAATTCATGAGTGAGGAGGAGTAACATTATGCATGCAAGTTTATTAGTTCAGAACCATATATTCACCCTCCAAAAGCAAAAGACGAGGAAGGAGAGGCAAGGAGAAAACTCCATGAGAGGGAACACAGATTTGGATCGGCCCACAAAGACGATACCTATAGCAGTCTGTTGATCTAGTCATCTCCAACTCCTGATCACGTGCCATGGTCGACCGTTCGAACACTTTTATTGCCATCTCTGTCACAAACAATCCCATGCTTACCATGTGACACTACACCCTCTCCCACACGCCCTACTCTTCTTTTCTTCCAAGCTTCCCCACAAAATTTCACTCTCCTTCGCTGGACCTTTTTTCCACAGGCCACTCCATGCATCCTCTATTTAATGCATATGTATATTAATGCCATCGCCTTGAATGAATTTCTAAGAAGAGGATTTGATTATAATAAAATGGGATTGATGTTTTATTGTTGTTTTGATTTTCAAGGTATGCAATTAATTCGCCATAAAATTTTTAATCATACGTAAATTCTTTTGAACCATATAAATATATTTTAAAAGATTATTCTAGTGGTAAAAAGAGTTTTTTTTTTTTTTTTGAATCGATTCACATATAAAATCATCCGAGAATATGTATAAAGTAAATACACATATAATCTATAGGTCCAACTACCAACTGTGTGTGATAAACGGAACTTTTTTTCTTTTTTTTTTTTCTAGTTAGAATTGGGGTATTTTATTAAAATCCCATTGATCGAGGAAAGGTTTTCTCATAATATTAGAGAATGTTTTAACCAATAGAAAACAAAAAAGAATAGCCCCAGTAGTGCAATCATTTCAAAGTCGTCGATCATATTTTGCTAATGCGCTTACAATATCAATAAATTCGTAAAAGATGTGTTGCGTACTTGTTTGTGTAAGTGTGCACGCAGATCATGTAAAGTTTTTAAATAAGTACTTATCACCTTTTATATATTTCACATTATAAAAGATTTGAGATTCACGCCAGTTTTGTCGAGTTTAGTAGCTTATATTGAATGAGAAGAGGAAGAGATGTGTTAGATTCTGTTTAGATTTGCATGGCAGGTGAAACAATTGGCAGACCACAACGAAAAAAAGTCAGAAAATAGTATGAGACTTTAAGAAATTATTCCATATATTAAAAATTATATTTTTCTTTCTCACATGAAAATGGAATTTATAATTAATTTTTATAACGAAATCTATATTTATATGTAAAGAAGGATTACAACTCTTGATTCTGTCATTCTTAATTTCTCATATGTGGCACTTATATGACCTTTCGAACGCAGATCTTTTTTTACGGCAAACAGCCTTCCAGCAAAGAGAAGGGCCATCTAATTGACCACATCACAATCAATGAGATTGTGCATTTCATAATCAAGTGAAAGCGCCACTTCAATCCCTCACTCCGCTTGTAACCTTCTTGTCAAATATGCCTCCGAGATTGTATGTTTTCCCCTTCACATACTTAAATTTTATGTAGCAAACAAAGAGAAAATTTAAAATATAAAAAATTTCATTTTTTTTTACTTTATACGTTCAAAGCTCTTAGCAGAACTAGTTTGTTAAGATTTAAATATGTGATTTCTTGTTAAAAGAAACCATTTCTACTAGACTACAAGTTATTTGATTCAAAAAAAAAAAAAAAGATACATTCAAAACTATTAAAAGGTTACTATTTAAGTTCCATAAAATTTCGACAAACAAATATATCTCGCGAGGTAATAAACTTCTAACTCAAATTTGTTAATGCATTTTCTTTCTTTAAAAGGGCTTTGGATTGTTGTCTCATCTTTTAGGTGCCCGCCACATCTTGATGAGGGAAAAAAAAAAAAAAAACCCCTATCCCTATAGGGGATAACTAAAGCGTGGAACCAAAGATAAAAGTTTTGAAAGGTGTTACACCTAAAATTTATATTAGGCCAAAAAGTCCGGTAATTTGATTTCACATAAGTGACATGTTAGTTAATTTGGTGGGTAATTTTTTTGAACCAAATGACGTATTAATCAAAGACTCTTTAATTAAACAAAATCGTTATAAAAAGATAAACGTAAATGATAATTTCTCTAACAATCGTAAAAGAAAGTTGACGAGTTACAAAAGAAAATGAAACATGACCAAAATAAAAACGAGAGAAACATGGAGCACTACAAGGGAGTATGAGAAAGTATAGAAAAACGTGAAGCAATATAAAAGAACATAGAGGAGCCGGATGCTTATAAATACAATCTACAGTAAAAAAAATGACAATGTACAAACAAATTCAATTTGCAAATTACAAACAACTCATAAAGCACTTTTCAAGTTTCAATAGACTTGAAAGTTGTTAAGGTATTGCTTGTAGATAATAATTTTGTAGGCTAGAATCAAGTAAGTAGTAAAATCAAGTACACCGATACTCGGTTTCGATTCTTATCTTGTTGTCGTAACTTGTGATCATGATCTTCAATTCTTGCCAATATTGTTATGTATGGAGTACCAATTTGTAAGCCTTCACCACTCCTAATGAAAGTAAGTTCTTCCTTTTAGATTGTGTATTGTTAAATTTGCAATATTATATTTTTGATTCACATATTATTATAACTCCAAATTTATAGTTTTTTGGCTACTGTTAAGATTGTAACCTTACTTTTCTAGAACATAAGTTGTTTAATCTTCTAATCTTTAGTTTGAATTTATTATTTTGATTGCAAAAATTATCTTAAAATTTTGAATTATCATATTGAAATAGTTTATATTGTGAATAATTATCTTTACAAACTTACAATCCACCTAGTTTAGGTAGATTACGGACCTTTTTTAAGGGTTTGCAAGATGATTATAATTCATTTAATTTTGCTTTATATTAAAAGAAAAAAACAAAAATATCATTAGAAAAATTAGTAGTACGCTTAAATTAATTAATAAATTCATTCACTTGTGAGTCTAGAAGTTAAAATATCCTACGGACTACTATCCAACTACTTTTTTTATATCTTTTGTTACAAAGTCCACCTACTTGAAATAGACATAAAAGAATTCGCAAAACAAATGAGCAACCATAGTGGGAGTGTTAATTTAGATTTCTTCCCAACATCTTTTTCCATTATGCTCGCAAAATAGATTTGGTGACGTAGCGGAAACTCACAATAAAAAGATAAATATTGTTGATCCGAAATTCGGATATCGACCTATTATAACTCCGTTGAATTGCATACACAAATACCAGGAAATAAGTTTCAATCCCGCCGATTCAAAGAATGTCAAAAATTAGAAAAATTGAGATTCTCTCTCACAAAAGTTTATTAATTAAGTAAAAGTGGTGTTTTTCGACTCTGAAGTCTTACATAAATAGTAAATTTTAAGTCAAAACCCTAAAGCAATTTGAAAAGGTAACAAACACTAAAAATTCAAAATTAAATAGGAAAAAATCTCGAAAATCACTAAAAATCCAAAATTAAATAGGAAACAATCCCGAAAATCACTAAAAATCCCGCAAAAACAAGAAATTGCAATTTTGAGGGCCTACACAATCTTTTTTTTTTTTTACCAAAATCATCCCTACATCATGAGCGAAGCCGATGAGTTTTGATCTTTGGCCCATTTGGCATCGAATTAGGTCCAAAACTCTCAAAATAAGGCCAAAAATCCCAAATCACGTCATCAATTGCTATTGCACCCTCCATGAATTCGAATGCCTTTTGGTCCACATCATTTGGCGACCATAGTGAGAATGTCATTTAAATTTTTCTACAATAACTTTTGAAAAAAAGTAACATTTTGAATCATGTTTTTTATATAACGCTAAAATATCAAAGTTTTTATTAAGGAGAAAAGTCATTTGAAAAGATTTATGGCACTAAATTAACTCTCAAAACTCTTTATCCAAGTAATTCTCAAGAATAGGATTGCAATGATGAAAACTTGATTTATGATAGAGGAAAAGAGTCATTCTATAAGACATTAACTCATAAAGCTCGAAAGGAATTGACACAAGAAAAGTTAATTTAATGTTCGTAAGCTCATGACGATAAAAGAAAGACAAGTTATTTTAGAAGCAAAATTGAAAGTGACACTTGAAGAAAGTAATCATAAGCATTAAATGATATTAGCTATAAGATGAGAATGAAAATGACAAAAAGATGTTATGATGAAGGGACAAAATATGATTTTCCCGATTTTTTTTCCTATAACATTTCATTCAAAGCATGAAAAAAAAATACCGTCAAGCTCTCTAAACTGATATGGGAATGTAATAATGATCAAATTAAATATTCCACCATTGTTGCATACTATGAGGATTATTATGCTTAAAAATTAAGAAATCTTGAGCAACGTGATGAAACAAGGAAAATGATGTTTTTTGGCATGAATTTTTGTGAGATTTTTGATAAATTACTAAGGTATATTTCCTCTAATATCTTTCGTTATGAGCTTCATAACAATTCAACTCTTGTTCTATCTTAACAAAAAGATAATGAGATCCCGAATATGGACAAAGATGATGATATATCTTCTTATAAAGCGCAAGACAAGCTCAATTTAAGGCTAGAGGCTTGCAATTTGATTCAAACTAATTTTAAAACCATAACTCAACTAATAGAAGAAATATAAATTGAAAATAGAAATGCTAGTAAATCATTATAAAGAATTAATACTCGGCTAATAAGCAAGATAACTCTACCTATAAAGGCATATAAGTGACTCTTGTAAGGATGTGAGAGATTATGATGTAAGAAATAATTCAGAATTTGAATCTAAACCCCATACATAAAGACCTCTAATTAATTAAGAAACTATTCATAATATAAAAGAACCCTTTTACGAGATCCATATATCGACTCTATAGAGACCAAAAACTATAGTTATAGATCTACAAATGCCGACTCGTAAAGATCGAAACTATAGTTACAAGTCTACAAATACCGACTCTATAAAGACTAAAACCTATAATTATAAGTCCGCCTATACTAGCTCGATATAAAATAAAAATTGTAATTATAGGTCTACAATTACCGACTCTATAAAGGCTAAAAACTACAATTATAAGTCTACAAATAATAGCTTTGTAGAGACTACAAATTATAATTATAAGTCTATAAATACTAACTCCATAGAGACCGTAAACTATAATTTTAAGTCTACAAATGAAAGACTTAACGAGCAAACTAGATAGCGAGATGAAGATGGCCAACTAATGAATGAGAGATAAACCATCAAACCTTTCAATCTAGCCTTAAATATATTTTGAGCATTGCAAAACAAGCCTATGGTCTTGAGGTGCAACAAGTTCACAATATAAATTCTACTTTAAATTTTAAGGTCACCATGAATAATTGTAATCAAAGCATTAAGAGTATGAATCATTTTAAGATTATAAGGAAAATCCATATTTGGATTATGAAATCATGGTAAATAATCAAGGTCTTAAATTATAAGAATCAACACAGGACTTCAAAAAAAAATATCCATATTTGGATCTTGAACTCAAGATAAATGATCATGGCTTAGATACTATAAGGATATAATCATTCAAAAATATAGATCTAAATGAGAAACCTACTATTTTTTTTTAATATCCATGATAAAAAGAATAAAAAAAAACTAATAAAAATCCATATGACTATCTTATTTATCCATGAGAATTATCATTTTAGTTGGTTGTTAGTATCACATGAATCAAAAGCTACATTTATATGATTGATCTTAAAATTTTATGTTTATAAAATATCTTTAATCTTTTGCAAGAATCAAATTTAATCACGTTCTTTGCAAGGCATGTAAAGAAGGTTTATGTTTTACTAAAAGCATAGTTACTTCTTGCAAAACTAAAACTTCAATGTTAATGTTAGAAAGAAAGATATATATTGGTTTGAATAAACCATTGCATGTATTGTATTATTATTATTATTATTTTATGTGTGACCTTGATGATTAGAATAGCCAAAGTTTGGTTTAAATTTAATAGAGTCAAACTTTGACCAAATCATATTGGAAATAAAATGGCTAAAAAAGTACCAAAAAAGGTGACAATGCAAACAAAACCTTATTTTTTCAAAATAAAATAAATCATCACTACACCAAGTAGGACATTGTAGGTGGTTTTTCCCTCATATAGAGGTGGTTATCCCTGTCTTTTCCAAGTACGAGGGCAATTATATGAACTCGCTTCAAAACCACTTGTAATGTCACTGTCTCTAGGATATAGAGGTGGTTTTCTTAACCATTGGGAAATTTTCAAGCGGTTATTTTATGGTAGTTTAATCGTTGCATCTTGCTTTTTTGAGGTAGTTAAACCAACCCTAAAAATTGTGTCATTTTTTTAATTTTTGGTGTGAAAATTGTGCGAATGTT